TTTCTCCTCCACCCCCTACCTCACCCCAGTATCGTCCTGGTTAAGAATAAGCCCTGTTCCTTTAAGACTCGTGTCGCTTTCCATCTCTAAGTCTATTATGCTGTTTGAACATACCCAGCACTTTGTCGAGGCAGTCTAAAAGGTAATCTTGTTTTCATTTTACGGATGGGGAAACTGAGGCATGGGGAGATGACATAACATGCCCATGCTTATCCAGTAATCAGGGACAGATAAGGAGCTTGAATCCAAGGCTTCTGACTTCAAGGATGAGAACTCTTAACGATAGCTCAAATGCCAGCCTTTGCTTATACTTAAAAGTAAACTTGTTTCATCCCCCTGAGACTTGGCTTTCCAAGCTTTCAAACAGGGGTGACAATCCCTGCTTATCTCAGATAGTGTCCTTCAGCCATGCTTCAGGAGTGCAGAGGCCTGGCAGTTCATCCTGATGCTCCAGACAGATGGAAATTGAAAATTAAGTCATTGAGAATCGCCATCCGCTGTGTCTGTCCGGTTACAGAGTGTCCATCTGCCTTGGGCTCTTGGAGCTGAGCTCACCTCTGGCAACTGAAAGCTCAACCAGGGAAGACAGACCTGGCAGTGTCTCCCCACCAACATCAAGTCTCCTAGCTGGCTAGAGCAGATTTCTAAGTGTCTCACTACGTGAAAGAGAGTGAATCTGAAATGAGGAGTACCCTCGTATCAGGGGAAGGTGGGGTAAGATGGAGAAATTGGGCTGCCCAGTGGAATTCCACTGTAAGCTAGTCACCACTGGTGTCCCAGTTCCTTTCCCTTCACCCCGAGACCCAGTCTAAAGAAACGTCTCGAAGGGTACAGAGCCTAAACTATATTTGGACGAGAGTATGTGCATCGGGGGTGCTGAATTTTCCTCATTCCTTCGTCCAACAAGTGTTCGTTTTCACAGTGCCCCTCCCTGTGGGATGTATTATTGCCAGCGCCACCCAGCTACTGCCTGAGAAGGCAGAAGGCGCGGGCAGGATGCTCAGCGGACGCTGGTACTGACTTCAAGCTCTTCTCCCCGAAACCCGCTCAGCTCCCAGCATAAAGCATTCAGGAAGCACCAAATAAAATGGTGTAATGAACACAGCAAGGCTGGTTTCGTTTCATTGTTTTGTTGTTGCTGCCTTTGTTTTTCCTGGCCACACATTTGTATTCCATTCCCCACCCTCCTTTCTTCAGTCCTGGGGGCATGGGAGTAGAGTGGGAGAGAGAATTCCCCAGATGAAGACTGGCAGATGCAGCTGAAGGGCCCCTGGGACTCTAGTAGCAAGAGAAACTGAATAGCAGAGTGCAGGGATGTTATTCAAAAACAGGGACTCACAGTAGCTTTGTCAGCAGAATCTTGGGGGAGAAAACAGTTCTCTCTCTTCCTCCCTCCCTCCCTCTCCCATTTCCCCAAATTTCCTATCCCTCTTTTAACCCTCCCTCTGCCTACCTATCTATATATCAACTACATACTACATATGACTGCCTATCTAAGTACATATTTACCTACCTATGTCTACCTCTGTCTCTCCTCCAGAACCTCCAGGGTCCACTGGCTCTAAGCAGACAGATAGATTGAGGTCTTCAGCATAATAGGAAGAAAATAACCTTCACAAGAACTCAACTCTAGCCCCAGTTCCTGCCACTCTGAGGTCTCTTTGATGAGGAAATGAATCTTAGAGAGCAGATCATGGGTGATCTTCTGATAATCTTACCCTATTTGTCTTCATATTCGAGGAAAAGAAAGGTGGTCCCAGGAGTCCGGCAACCCCGTGACCTTATCCTCAACAGCGTGTGCCTTCATTATTCTGTAGATACGGTGTGCAGGGGGAAGACCTCTCTGCTAGATATCAAAAGTCCAGGATCCTACTTCTAGCCCTACCACCAACTCTCTCTGTTGTCTGGAAGCAGATGCCTTGACCTCCTATGGCTCTTAGTTTTCCATTCGATAAAATAGGTGAAGGGGCTGGGATTGTACACATCATCTCATGAAACCACTGCAACCAATGCTGGATAAATATTATCTCCATTTTTTTTTTTTTTTTTTTTTTTTTTTTTTTTAGACCAAGAGTTTGATCATCCATCTCCCTCCTTCCATTCCCACGGAAGCTTCCTCCCTCTGGCCATGGCTCACGGGCCCAGCCGATCCGCGGCATGTGGGATCTTCCCGGACCGGGGCACGAATCCGCGTCCCCCGCCATCGGCAGGCGGACTCTCAACCACTGCGCCACCAGGGAAGCCCTCCATTTTTTTTTTTTTAATGAGGGAAATGAAGTTCAGAGAGGTTAGGTTACGTAAGCCCCGTGCTGCTTGTATATGGCAGAATTAGGATTTGAACCTAGTTTTGTCTGATGCCAAAACCTGTGCCCTATGCAGTTCCCTTTATTGGGTTTCTAAAGAGTAAAGTCTGGATTGATGGCTCATCACTCTTGGATTGGGCCTCAGTTTTATTATATGTAAGTTGGCTACGTTCACCAAGAGGTTGGAGCTACTGAGAAGTGCTGAGCCTGTATTCTTTCCATGCTTGAACTGCCAGGCATGCTACTGGTCACTGGAGTCCTCAGCTGGCTCAGACTCATCCTTAAATAATTGAATTATAATGGACTGATTTATTCTGGCTCTTTTGATAGTATTTCACTATGTAAACTGTTTGCAGAAATAAACAAGGGATTTTGGAGCTTGGAAGGGGCTCAACATTCTGCTGCCCCTGAATTCAATGATTCCTTTTTTCAGATAGTCAGCATCACAGAAATCCAAGTCTGATTTCTGCTTGACCCGGGCTCTTTCTATTTGGGGGAATGCTGCTTGAAAGGGTTTCAAGTGAGTACAGATTTTATAAGCTGATTCAATTCAGCCACTTAGGAATGAATTGAACCCTTAGGAGAAGAGTATCTTTTCTCTTGACCATTATTTTATTTTATTTTTTTTAAGGGTTTTTGTTTTTTTTTGGATGTGGACCATTTTTAAAGTCTTTATTGAATTTGTTACAATATTGCTCCTGTTTTAAGTTTTGGTTTTTTGGCCGCGAGGCATGTGAGATCTTAGCTCCCCGACCAGGGATCGAACCCACACCCCCTGCATTGGAAGGCAAAGTCTTAACCACTGGACCGACAGGGAAGTCCCTTGACCGTTATTTTAGAATAAAGCTCATTCCTGTCCATTTCTTATGAAAGTTGTATGGCTATCTTGAGAGGTTGTCCTGGCTGGGACAGTGATTTCTGTATTACAGACGGGAAGCCAGAAGCTGAGAAGTGACGCTAATTGTGCAAAGTTACATAGCTAATATAAGGGGCAGAAGCCAAACCCTGGTTAGAAATGGGGCTTCACGCCATTATTTTGTAGTTAGTAGGGGAAGGATGGCCCAGATCAAGCAGTATCCTCAGGGTGACCATACGTTCTGCGGTATTTAGATTTTCTCAGGATATGTGCCTATTGCCTGGACAGTTTTTACTAGCATTCTCTCTCACTCTCAAAGTGCATTATTTGGATGATAAATTATAAGGTCACTCCAAAACACTGGACAGGGACTAGATTTTGAGGAGCTCACTGCCTTTTGAAGGAGCTGCTGTATGTAAACACGATGGCTGCACAGTGTGATAAGTGTAAAGATGGGGATCTTTGTAAAATAGGAACCCACACAGGAGGGGGCACTTAGCTTTTCCTAGCAGAATTGGGGGAGCATCACAGAATACCTGACATTCAAGTTATTAAAAGTTGGGCAGAGTGATCTCTTTTGGATGGCTACCTCCAGGTTTCTCCTTGTGTGGTTCTATGTTGCAACACCAAGAAACATGTACTGCGTATGTCCTACTTACTTAGAAGGCATCCAGTTAATTCTGTGCTTCTCTGATCTTGGTTCTTGCAGCTAAGTGAGCGTCATTGCAGCCAGCTGCAGCTTTAAATTGTCCCAAGCAGAACTCCTTGCTGGGATTTGAATTACATGGGAGCTTGAGAACTCACTTGGCCTTTAACTGAAACACCTAATATATCCAACAAGGCCCTAGAAGCCTAGCACATTAGACAGGAAGGGCTCCTGGAGTCTCAGTAGTTTCGTCCCCTTCAATGATGATTGAGCCCAGAGAGGGAAAG